AACTTACTTTTACTCTAGAGAGTTAAGACCTGCGAGATGAAGGCGGTAATGGTGTCGTCAGGAAACTTGATCACTTGTCCTTGTTGATTGTTTTTGACTGACACCGACTGAATTATTGACAGACTGAATTATCGACAAACTGATAAGCTGAAATGTTCCGACCGTGTAAAAAAAAGGACGTAGCAGAGAGTGTGTGTTCCGTGCCTTTAAGGCACTATATATATATGATTTCGTTGAGGGAAACATCTGTACACGTGTTGTTTTTCCGCGATTAGGATAATAGGGATTATCCGCTTAGCCAAATTCTTAGTAACCGACTCCCGGAAGAGATCAGTTGCGTAGCCGTCGCGATCGTAACAGAACACGTAGTCATCCGTTTATCTGCTTAACTAAATTCTAATAACTGATATCCGAAAGAGAAGAATCGTGCAGTCGTCAAGATGTAACATCGGTGTACTTCCGCGATTAAAATAATAGGGATTATCCGCTTAGCCGAATTCTAGAAACCGACCTCCGGAAGAGATCAGTCTAACAGAGTAACAGAACATGCGTCACTCGTTTATCCGCTTAATTAAATTCTAATAACAGATACCCGAAAGAGAAGAATCGTGCAGTCGTCACGACGTAACAATAATAAAAAATTTAATTTCTACATTTAACAACATCACATATTTCTAATAACTCTCATTATTTTTAAGTCTTCAACTCGAAAATTATTTCGAATTCCTTTCATTGAACAGTTCATGGCACATTCGTTTGTAAAAGTCTTTATTAGAATTCGTAAAATGTTATCTTTAAGATTATTTCCTCCTAGTCTTAACAAAAACTGTTTCTGTAAAAGCGTAATATTGTGTACATATATAAATTAACGTTGAAATAAAATACAATTGCTACAAAGATAATATTTAATTGAACTTACAAATTGAGTAACTGCCTCTTCTGTAGATTTCAATAAAGATTCAAATTCCTTTATGCGTTGCACTGTGCTAAGAGGTAAAAAATTGACAATAAGACCATCGTTATTTTCAATGACTGAATTTGATGCCTGTTTTTTAAGAATACTTTCAATTTTTTGTAAACGTTGGTTTATATCTTGTAAGATTATATTTGATCTTGCTTGCATTCGTAACATTTGTTGTACATTCTCTGCAATAAGATATATGCACATGTATAAGTGAATAAAATGTGACTACATTTTGTTAATAAAATCTAAAATTATTTACTTTTAATGTTCCAATTTTCTTTTAAATCCTCAGAACATGGAATGTATCCTAAAACATTGCATAACATAGTATAATATAATCATATCGTATATAAAACTGAATTCGACATGCGTTGCACCTTTCAACCGATTTTCAACTCTATCTATTATTATTCCTCTTATCTTATTGCCCGCATGCAATCAATGTGCCGTTTGATACTTTCACTGTATGCAAGACAAAAATAAGAAAAATAGCAGAGCTGAACTAAAAATGACCAAAAAGTGCAATACATACATGAT